AACATAACTTGAAAAAGTTGTGAACAAAGTGTGAAACATTAAATTTTATTGAAACCGTCATTAAAATCAACACCTATCAGTACTTTCAGTACATTGATTAGTGAAGGATATCGAGCCCGATGATGTATAAGCGATAAATTTATTTTAAAAATCCGTTGCGCGAGCGCGCCGACGCGCCGAATACAATTAGCCCTCTAATCATTTCTATATTTTATTGTAAAAATCAGTTTCATGTAAATATTCCAAAATTGCATGTACATTTACATTTGTAAAAAGGTCATATATCGTTTTTGCATTACCAAAAAGTCTACTTCGAATTGGCGAAAAATCAGAACATTCTAATAAAATATGATTGACAGTTATCGGACAGTCACAGGATATACACTCCGGCTGAGGCCTCCAGTGGGTCCATTCAAAGCAAGTATTCATGTGTAATTTAAGAGTGACCTGTGATTTACGTAACTTTGTTTTATTCCCCCCCCCCCCTTGCCATATAATATACTTCGTCCTGAAGTATTCATGTTAATTTAGACCGAAGTCACATAATTACTTCGTCCTGATTTGTTAACTTTGTTTTCAATAGCATAAAGCTTATTTTCATCACAAAAATTCCAATAAATTCGCCAAAGAGAATCGACATAAATTTTAACGAGGTATTTCAAATCGGTGTAAGGAATTTTAAATAAAGTAATTTCATGTTGAAGTGCTGTTTTTGCTGCACTGTCAGCCTTAGTGTTTCCAGGGATGCCGATGTGGCTCGGAATCCAACAAAAATTAACTGTTTTACCCTGTTGAGCAAAATAATTATACTGTATTAATATATCTAAAATATAAGGGTGATCAAGATTCTTGTTTTTAATGGATTGTAAGCAAGAAAGAGAGTCCGAAAATATAGTAAATATGTTGTCACTGGAAGATTTTATATATTCAAATGTAAGTTGTATGGCTTTCGCTTCCGCAGTAAATATTGTTGCTTCATTTGGAAGACGTGTTGAGAAAATGCTATCATCAATTACTGCAGCTGATGCAACTGTATCCTTGTCTTTCGAACCATCTGCATAGATCTCGATTGTTGGACCATTAGAATGTTTTATTTCAGCTAATTTTTGTTTAAAAATAAGAGAATTTGTTTCTGATTTCTTAAATTCAGTTAAAGATATATCAACACTTGGTTTTATTAATTTCCAGGGCGGTATTTCAGAAAAATTTGAGGGTTTTATAATATCCAAAGGAAGGTCAGAGTCTCTAATATGCTTTTTACATCGTAGACCAAGTGGTTTTATACACGTTTTCTTTTATGATACAAGTCCTCATTCTGTGGATAAAAAAACACAGTTATAGGCAGGATTATTAACATTTGCTTTTAATTTCAGAATATATTGTAGGGAAAGTTTAGTTCTACGTAAGTCCAGGGGTGGTTCATTTGCCTCGATATATAAACTGTCTTTAGGAGAAGTTCGAAAAGCTCCTAAACACAGTCTAAGGCCTTGATGGTGAATTGCATCAAGAGCTTTTACGTAAGAAGTTCTTGCCGAGCCATACACAATACAACCATAATCTAACTTGGATCTTACTAAAGAACGACATAGTTTTAAAAGAGTATTTTTATCTGCCCCCCATTTTGTTTTTGCAATTACTTTGATTACATCTAAAGCTTTCGTGCATTTCTCTTTAAGCATTTTTATATGCGATACAAAAGAAAGTTTACTATCAAAAATGATACCTAAAAACTTTATTTCTTTTACAACTTTAATTGGATTTCCATCGAGCAGCAGACGTGGTTCGTCATGCGCCTTCCGTTTGGAACAAAAATGAACGCAAGCGGTTTTGCTTTTTGAAAATTTGAATCCATTTACATCAGCCCAATTTTGAATTTTATTTAGACAACTCTGCAATTTTCGTTCAATATAGTTCATATTTTTAGATTTAAAACAAAGAACAAAATCATCAACATATAAACTTCCATGCATATCATTTTCAAGAACTTCAGCTAAGTTGTTGATTTTTATACTGAATAGAGTTACTGATAGAATAATACCTTGTGGTACACCCATTTCCTGTTCAAAACTTTCTGAATATGTGGACCCTAAGCGTACTTTAAAATGTCTATCATTCAAGAAATTTTTGATAAAATTTGGTAAATGGGCTTTAAGACCCATAGTGTAGAGGTCTTCTAAAATGCCATGTCTCCATGTAGTATCATATGCTTTTTCTAAATCAAAAAACACAGATACAACATGCTCTTTTTTAATAAAGGCATCTCGATATAGGTTTCCAGTCTCACCAACTGGTCAATAGTACTGCGGTTTGTCCTAAAACCACATTGAGTATTAGTTAAAATGTTATTAGTTTCAAGAAACCATATAAGACGTTCATTGATCATCCTTTCCATGGTTTTACACATACAACTTGTTAACGCAATAGGACGGTAATTATTTGGATCTGTGTGATCCTTCCCAGGCTTTGGGATGGGAATTATTGTAGTGAAGCAATTAGAAACTGAATTCTTATTTTTATCTATTAATGAACAATTATATCCATGTGACATTAAACTTGTGCATGTTTTGCTTAAGAAAAATGTAACAATGTGTGGGGCTCCTCGCTCGCTCTCAGAGGATGTTTAAACCAGAAGTCTCTGTCGAGACTGTAGCTCTACTGGTTTATACTTAAAACAAAGGTAGCAATAGGGGCTTGAAACTTTAAAATAGCAATTAATAGAAAATGGTCCTTGCCACTTATCAAAATAAAAACCAATGCACAGAATTATGTATCTTAGTATAGTCTACTTGTGTGCCAAGCTATATTGAAATCAGACCAAAACTGTTAGCGGAGAAGCATTTTGAAAGAATTTCACAGAAATTTCTATTTTTAGTAACCATGGCAACACCTTTCATCGAAATCAAAAAACCGATGCACAGAATTATGTATCTTAGTGTAGTCTACTTGGGTGCCAAGTTATATTGAAGTCAGACCAAAACTGTAGGAGGAGTAGCATTTTGATTGATTGATTGTATATTGTTTAACTCCCTCTCGAGAATTTTTCACTCATATGGAGACGTCACCGTATGCTGGTGAAGGGCTTCAAATTTTGACCTGTACTCGGAACTCAGGGCCATTGAGCAGTGAGGGATCTTAATCGTACCAACGCCTGCCGCTGACAAGGGGGCCTCGGTTTTTAAGGTCTCATCCGAAGGACCCGCAACTTTCACTTCAAAGTGCCCATCGCATGGCGAAGGAACAGTTGCTTCCCATTTTAACGACTAGGTCAGTCGCGGCCGAGATACGAACTCACGACCTCCCGATCACGGAGCGAGCGCTCTACCGACTTAGCTACCGTGAACGGTGGAGTAGCATTTTGAAAGAATTTCAAAGAAATTTCTATTTTTAGTAGCCATGGCAACACCATTCATCGAAATAAAAAAACAATGCACAGAACTATGTATCTTAGTGTAGTCTACATGTGTGCCAAGTTATATTGAAATCAAACCAAAACTGTAGCAGGAATAGCAATTTGAAAAAATTTCACAGAAATTTCTATTTTTAGTAACCATTGCAACACCGTTCATCGAAATCCAAAACAAATGCACAAAACTATGTATCTTAGTGTAGTCTACTTTTGTGCCAAGTTATATTGAAATCAAACCAAAACTGTAGCAGGAGTAGCATTTTGAAAGAATTTCACAGAAATTTCTATTTTTAGTAACCATGGCAACACCGTTTATCGAAATCAAAAACCGATGCACAGAATTATGTATCTTAGTGTAGTCTACCTTTGTGCCAAGTTATATTGAAATCGGATCAAAACTGTAGCAGAAGTAGCATTTTGAAAGAATTGCACAGAAATTTCTATTTTGGTAACCCTGGCAACACCATTCATCGAAATCCAAAACCGATGCACAGAATTATGTTTCTTGGTGTAGTTTACTTGTGTGTTAAGTTATATTGAAATCAGACCAAAATTGTAGGAGGAGTAGCATTTTGAAAAATTGTTTACAGACAGACAGACAGACCGACGGACGCATTACTATCGCATAAGCTCTTCTGGTCTCTGACCAGTAGAGCTAAAAAACCAAACTCCCTATAGATCCGCCACTACATTTCTCCTCTATCTTGTTTTGGTGCAAGATGTGGTGGGAAAAGGCTTTGCATATAGTAAAATGCGCTTTATCCTCGTCTGTTTAAGCGAAATCTCCTAATATTCTTTCTGATAATAAATTAACATTTAGTCATATTTTTGAAACTTTTCTGTATTAAATTTACATTGTATATTTATATATTGACGGGTCATTTAAAAAAATGTACATACAACAAATCCTGTTTAAAAAGAGATGGTAAAATTATTTAAACATGTGACAGAACGCCACGGAGGGGGTCACGTGACCGCCAATATCACGTAATTCGCGCATGCGCAGAACGAACGGTGCTTGATGTGCATTAAAATCGGAGAGGAATTATTTAAAATATAATCAACATTGAAACCAAATATTGTTTCTTTAATGGAAGATATTCAATTAGTTCGCGAACTTTTTGATCACCCCTCGTACATAACGCTGTCTTTGTTTTAGACTATGCCAAACACGTGCGCTTATTTTCTCCGCTCTTCCGTTAGGATTGGATGAAACATTGACCCCATTATTCATAAAATTTTAATTTTATGATTATTGTGCGTTTTTGTTAAACATTTATAGACACTTTTTTGATATTCTATTATATGAATGTTATTTTTTTTTCATTTAAATTGTTCTCACTCCGCAAAAACGCACGGCGACTTAAAACTTTCATATCAAATAACCGACCGCCTCCTGGTGGCCGGTAATAAGAGGTTTTTCAATATTGAATAAAGAATAACTGAGAGCAGTACTGCAATTATGTTACATATTATGAATATAGCTGTTTTGTGTAGGTCAATGTACATCGTCGATTTACGATAAAATGTCTGTCTTCATCCTTTTATATTGAAGTCGATATACAATACATGAATGCTAATAACTTTACTTTACCTGAAAAATTTCTTTCATTCCTCTTTCAAAATTGTCTGATTCAGTCTCTAACTCAATTTCTTCTGTATCTCCAATAGTACCAAACATTTGGATATATACACTAGCATCAGAACCAGCTGATGGGATGTCACTAGTCCATAAAATAACCTCATAAAGAATTCCTAATTATGTAAAATAAAATAAAACTGTGAATTTCGTTTTTCAATTTAAAATTTGTTTGTCATTCTTATGGGTTTTGACAATGGAACATAAAAGTTATATCTTTAATTTTGTCCGCAAAACGTCCATAAACAGTTCGAACAGTATTCCCCCTAACAAGAAAATTATATAGTTAACTATAGTTATAGTAAATAAAAGTGTCATAGTTTTCGCCAAAGTTTTTCAAAGTGTCAAATTTTTCGATAAAGTTTTTCAAAGCATCAAAAAAGAGTTTTCGATAAAGTTTTCAAATTAAAGTGTCAACATTTTCGATAAAGTTTTTCAAAGTGTCAATGTTTTCGATAAAGTTTTTCAAAGTGTCAAAGTTTTCGCCAGTTTTTCAAAGTGTGAAAGTTTTCGCTAAAGTTTTTTCAAAGTGTGAAAGTTTTCGCTAGAGTTTCTCAAAGTATCACTTTTTCAAAGTGTCAAAGTTTTCACCAAAGTTTTTCAAAGTTATCACTATAGTAAATCAAAGTTTTCAAAGTGTCAAAGGTATAACTATAGTTAACTATAGTTAACTTTAGTAAACTATAATTATATCGTATTTTTTTTTGTTAGAGCCGGCTCGAAATCCATAAAACAATACAAAATAGTAGCAGAGCAAACACGGACCTCCAAAACATCAGAGGTCGGACCGGTACCGTGGAGGAGTTAGCATCCCCTGCCTACCGGTCATACCCGCTGTGTGCTCCTTGTCATGATTGGGAAACAACGGGAAAATCCGTCGTCAATACTTGATATCGCGATTACTTAACTTAATGGAACTCTTTCGCGATGGAGGTAAGAAACGTCTGTTGAATGGGGGCAAATGTGCTACTGAATACAATGCAAGATCGATCATTGTAGAATTTGTAAAAAAAAAAAAAAAAAAAATCCTGGTGGAATGCTAAACAATCGCTGAACCAGCCTTATCAATTTTTGAGAGGAGCCTATCCTAAAATGTTACATTTTCTACGATATTTTTAATTAAGCGGGCTCTTGTCATTTAATTTTCATTAAAAATCGCCACATTTCAAAGCTAATAAATTATTCTAAACTTTCCTTATTCGACAATCTTCTATTTGAAGTTCAATCCTTGGCAATACATTTTATTTTCGGCATAAAATTGTTCGAATCATTCGATTGTCACTACTTTAAACAATGTCATGTGCCCCAGAAATCTTATTTAGAGATTTAGAGCTTTCTCGCCTCCCCTGCAAAAGCGTAAGTTAGTTAGATAACTGCGAGGTAGTCGCGATACTCAATGATAAATTGTATTTGATGACAAGGGCATTGTATCGACCATAGAAAATTGATGACTTAAATTTAAACGAGACTGCTAAAATTCTTGCATATCAGCATTTGACTCAATGATACGCTATTCCCCCACTGCTCATATTTTGTATTGTTTTATGAACTTTTGATCTTGAATACTGTTCGTTATCTCCATGTGTTTAATTAAAAACTAAAATGATGAAATAACTGTATTTCGTTTTATCGTTTAGCTTTTTTAAAAATGTTTATTTAAAATAGTTTATCCCAGTTAACAAATACATAATAGGAAGCCATACATGTTTAAGTAAAAAAAAGTGAAATTAACACACAGTGCATGGAGACCTATATTTGTTGCATATTTTTTTAATATAACCATGCCGATGTCCAACGAAAGAAATTTTTGAACTGGTCAACATAAAACAATAGAATTTACACTTGCGTGCATAGTGAAAAAAAAAAACAGGTGACATACTTTGTAAATTTTGCAACAGAAATGTCCGGGCTAGCCACTCCGATTCCTCGGCACTCTCTATCACCACCAAATGGGAACAACTGGCTTCGCATTGCAACTGTTGATGATGAAAAATTATGAAATTTTCATTTCAGTTCATTAAACAAGAGCCCATGAGCCACAACACTCATCTGAACAAACTGGTCCTGCTATCCACCATATTTTTCTCATTTTAATTCTTTCATTATCTTATTGTTACACGCAACGGAAGTGCATAGAGAATGCTTCACTTATTACGATAACGTCCGAGAGAGTTTTTGCCTGCCGTAATAATCACTCTCGGGTGTTACATGTAACATAATAGGTAATAGGCACTTCCGTTGCGTTTACCTAAATAAATTTCAACGTTCTGACTGGAATGCATTTTAAGGAGAAATTGTGGGATTCTTACGAGTCAATCCGATAGCATGGACTGAGACAGAAATATATGTAGAGACAGCGTGGACCGACATTTTAGGTGAAAATGAAATAAATACGTTTTTAAACCCAGAAAGACCAGTGAGGATGCAACGTGAACAAACCGGAGTTGCTTACCTTTCTCTCTTATAATGTATAGTGGGGTATCTTTTTGTGGAGCGACTATTTTGGGGGTTTTGTCGATTTACTCCTACTCCAAACATGTTCAATGTTGTAATAAATGTACATTGTGAAAAAAATGTCAAATAAGCCCCGGGGATGAATATCGGGAGGGGGGTCCTGTCCACACGTATCTGTAGATATATCCTAGTGAGCTTGAAGTAAAAGATACCACAGTCTGACACATCTGTTTCATAGCGAGCGCAGTGAGCGTCGCGAAGCGAGCTCAATAGACTAACGTGTAAGAACAGAGGGAATTCGGATTGAAATCTGTACATACGTCAGCCAAATTTCTCTGTGCAACATTCCCAGAATTCCTGCACTACCCAATGTCCTTTGTGCGAATATTGCCGAATAAATCAATAAATAATAACGTAATGCATATATCAGGCTTTCAGTTTGTAGAAATCTTTCAAAGAAACAAGAAATAACTCTGCAATGTTTTTTGACAAAAATTGCACTAGTTCTATAGTTTCAAACAGACGCTCGGCTGTCTCCGTAAGCTCCGACGAGCTTTGTGACGTCGTATGACGTCACAGCTAGTCGAGATGTCTCGTGCGGCTTGACGTTTGAAGTGGCTGATCTCAAGTGTTTTTGATGGTACAATTGCGCTCGCCCCAACGGTCACACCGTAAAACATATTATTTGGATATTTTACTTGAAAACGACTTTAATGGTAAACTAACAACCAAGTTCTATGATAAATGTGATGACGTTAACTTTTCTATCCTCAACTTCCCTTATCTATGCAGCAATATACCTTCATCACCTGCATACGGAGTTTATAATATCTCAGTTGATTCGATACGCACGGCATGCTCTGCGTATGAACAATTTCTTAAACGAGGTAATTTATTGACAATGAAGTTGATGAAACAAGAATTTCAGCTGTCTTGTTTAAAGTCAACATTTCGTAAGTTCTATGGTCGATACAATGACCTTGTCAGCAAATACAATTTATCACCGAGGCAAATGCTGACTGATGTTTTTCATACTTATTGTTATCCATTATTTATACACTGAATTGACGAAGGATTTTTTTGTTATTTACAGAACACAACAAGGAGCACACGGCTGGTTTGACCGGTCTTCAGGGAATGCTCATTCCTCTATGGCACCTGATCCAGCTTCTGATGTTTCAGGGGTTTGTGTTTGCTCTGCTCCTGTTTTGTATTGTTCCGTGCACTTTTGATCTAGAATGTTGTTCGTTATCTCCATATGTTTTACCGATCCGCTTGACGTTACGTTACAGATATGAACAATTAGAAGGCGTTTTTAAGGAACAAATTGTTTTGTTTTCTATACGCAATGATTGAAAATTAAACTAGATATCATTGAGATGGTGGTCATCTCAAAGGGCCCCGCTTTCAACAATGAACATGAAAATGTATAGCTGCAGAACTGTAGCTCTCTGCTTGGGAAAATTCGAACAGATAAAGCAGAAAGCTACAGACCCAAGCGTTGGAAAAACCTTCGATTTACGCCGACGAATTTTTGTCGCTCACTATGGGTATTTTTTCGTGTATTTTATATTTTCCCCAGCTTTGAAAAAAATTTTAAATGGTACATGTATTTAATAATTAATCATAGATTCAACTTCAATTCCTGATCATTTACTTACCTCCCAACGCTAAGAAATGGCTGTTTGTGTCTGTCGGACGTCAAAATGGAACTCTTTAAAAGGGACATTACAAAATTATGCACAGGACTGTTTCAGACCCATAAAAGGTTAACAAAGTATCAAATATAAGAGTTAAATATATGAATTAGTATAGGATACCATTCTAAAAGCCAGAGAAAGCTTAAACTACACAAAATAAATACCTAAAGAAGCTACAAAAAATCGTCGGCGTAAATCGATGGGCAAGGTCACTGCACATCCATTGACCAGTGGAACTCTGTGAGTGAAGTAATAACCAGATTGGGCCAAGGAGAGAGATTTTTCATAAAATTCTGCTATGACCTTGACTTCTGACCTATAAAGCTTAGGTTCAAGTTCAGTGAAGTAATGGTTCTCTAGGGAATATGAAAAAAAATATTAAAATTAACAAAAAGCCCAAGGGCCTTATAAGTCACCGGCTTATCATGCAAAAACTTTCCAACAATTGAATTTGTTTCATGTTTTAATCCAGACACCATGAAATTCAGTTTTGAAAGGGGAAACAATTGTTTATCATAACTTTACAATAAGCATGCTTACTTAATACCCAAAGGTAGTTCGGAGTTACAGAGAAAATGCTTTTTCCAATTTATAACCAGTTGTACACCGGGCCCACCCCACAAAACCACTAACACTTGGGCGACATATTTCTGAATTTCATAAATGCACTTTCATACATTTCCTAAATGGTAGATTAATACCAAAGAGTAGATTTCAAAATATTAATTTATTTTGCGAATATGCAACCTCCCATGATATCCATGACCTAGGGGCCCTAAAATTAATCATTTTTGGAAGAGGAACCTTTCATCATCAGAAATACATGTATATATCGTTTCATAATACCTATATGTAGGAGCAAAAGAAAACGATTTTAAACGAATTCATGCATTCTCAATAATAATCATTACAGCCCCCGCCTCATACAGTGTACCAGAACCCCTGACCCAGGGGCCCTGAAATTTACAAATATGGAAGAGGCTTCCTTCCTCATCATAACTATATACATAGTTTTTTAGTTTAAATCCAAGAAGCAGGGGAGACGATTTTTAAAGAATTTATTTTTCTATATAAATATTGGAGCCCCGCCCTAATACCACAACCCTTTTGCCCTGAAATTCACAATTTTGGAAGAGGCTCCCTTCGTAACAATGTAAATGAATATTTCATTGGTTTAATACCCAGGAGCAGAGGAGAGGATTTTTTAAAAGAATAAATGCATTTTCACTAAATATTCATTAGGACCCCGTCTCAACACCACTACCCCAGACCCAGTGGCAACAAAATTCACAACTTTGGAAGAGGCATTCTTCTTAATCATAACAATGTACATTGTTATGAGAGGAGAAAACTTTTTAAGGAATAGTACTTTTTCACTATATATTCAACAAACCGTTGCCCTAGCATTAGAACCCCATGATCATTTATTTTACAATTTTGGTAGAGGGCTCAATGCTTACTACAACCATGCCAACAGTCTGACTGCTTGTTGTCCAAGAGGGAAGAAGATTTTTATAAAAATGGCATACTGTATAGGGGATTAATTTCACGGGTTGTAATTTTAGCGTTTTTTTATCTTCTCTGACACTGTCGCGGTTTCTTGAATTCGCGGAATCGGTATATTATAAAAGTTTCCTCCCTTATCTATACCTATTGAAAACTTATTCACTGTTTCTTGAATTCACGGTTTCATCAACACCGTGAATATAGCGAATATTAACACCGCGAGTTAATTTCCCCATATACAGTAATTTAAGTGGTTTTGCCCCATTTCGTAGGCCCCAGTGATATTCGTTTTCGTTCCCCTTCACCCATATATAACTACCGGTATATGCTAAAATTGGTTGAAATTCAATGAGTGGTTGCAGAGAAGAAGCTAAAAATGTTTAAATATCAAGGCACAACGAATCGCTTTGTATGAACTGTGACCAATGGATAGCTCATAATTTAAAAGCAATTTTAAATATACCTTTGCTTTTTCCCATGTCATTTTCCTATCGTCTAAAAAATAGCAATGATTCTTGTATTCCAACCAGTTGGAATCACAACCTGTAAATTCATATGTACAATGTATTCATTGAATTCAATATATATCGCTCCACTCAAAATGGGGTTTCATTGTGTAGATTTTCGAAAGTATAGAAAAAAATCTCTCGATTAATTTTTTGACTTTTCAGAAAACAATCATTGAGCATTTAATAATATATTTCTCTGAAAATACATGTTAAGGCATTGAAATACTTATCGAAGACTAAAATTATTAAACTAAAAAAAACATGATTATAGTTAAAGAATTATGATTACGGTATGTTTTATCTTTTAAAGATCAGTTATAATTATAGTTAAAAGAACAATAAATACAATGTATATATAGAATGTTCTTACCTCGTAAAGGTAAAGATAACATATAATAATTCTTCCATCCAGGTTCGTTAAATCTGATATTGGCTGGCTCACACGACGTATGAATTCGGCATGTCTTTTTGTGAGAGTTAAAGCCAAAACACTTGCATCCACAGGATCGGCTACACTTACCAGAACAAACAACTAAGGAATTGGACAATACTGAGACTGCGTCACTAAAAACTTGGTTATTGAATTCCAACTGAGCCTTGAATTTTTTTGACACGATCACTTCCGTCCCTTGACCGAATAGAAATGAGAGAAGAAGGAAAATACATTTGACCGTAATAAACCTATTCATATCTAAGCTGGTTCCTCAGTAACTGCAA